ACCAAAGTTTTTCGGTGTCCGAGCACCGTAGACTCTCTCGGTATCATAAATTCAAAATGGCGGCTCCTCTTGGGGCGAAAACAAAAGCCACTCGGCTTCGTGTTCGAAGGCCTCGTAGGGTCGGGGTAGGTGGGCAACCCTTCTGAACTCTCCCTTACCTAGGGAAAACCAAAGGGGGGAGGGGGTGGTGGTTGGAGGGAAGTAGCGGCGAGGCTTTTCGAAGGGTCGAGCCACCGAAAATGGCGGACCCAATTAAGTGAGTCTGGGCTAGCATGATGTACGCGCGTCATGGAAACCGTAAGAGGCGGAAAGGAGGAGACGAAGGACCGAATCCTTTCAAAGAGACGCATGTAAGAGTCTATGCATAGTACGCAACGCACCCTTCTTTTTCTGACAGAGAGACCTCGTGTTCACGTCTCGTTAATCTTTTTCGTTTCTGCTCGAAGACGGAATTAGCGAACCGTTTCGTCGGTAAGGGAATTCTAAGTAATTAATTATCTGTATATTTAGCAAAAAACAATTTGTAATTATGTATCTTTATATTTAGCAAAAAATTTAATTAGTAGAAATTATATACAAGATTTGTTTATTATTATATTTCAATATTTAAATAAATAATAATATTACATACACATATTTTATGTGTGTGTGTATAACAATTGTATATGAATTAAATTAGATAATAAACTTAATAGCTTTGCAATGCGGGTTGCTGTAAAGGGTCACAGCCATTTCTCTGAATGAAACACCAGTCTGGTCCAGGTACAAAACTGGATGGGCGAGATTAACCCATGATCTCTGATCTCACCTGACTGGATGCTGGGCTGGACTTCCTCTTATTTCATGTCCGAAACAGGTGTATTATTTACATCTTATTTTCAATATACGTTTCCATGATTATATTAAACGAGCTTTGATATTTTATACTATTTACCATAATATATATGCTATTAAACATAATTATATATAAGGCTCTCTAGAGATTTTAGTAAAGACATTCTTTCAATAAAAATTTGAATGGAAAATTCGAGTTATATACATATATTTTAATATTTAGCATTTAAGGTTCTGTAAAATAAGAGTCTACGCGTGAAATTAACTTAAAAATAAGATTCTATTGTTTATCTATACCTTAAAAATATTTTGATTTATTAATATAAACTTAAATACGAATATAATTCTTCACGCGAAAATACATAATAATCTGCACAAATTTCTTCAACAAATATTACTTCATCGAACCGAAGCAAATTTTAATTTTATCATTAATTAAGTTATGCACTTTACAACGACGTGCCCGAGGAACTCGCGTCGTTAATCTTACGAATAACGCTTGACGCCTCGGGTGATCATTAATAAAGACGCTTCCGATATAAGATCCGCGTTAACAAAGTTCCACATTTTCCACGTGTACCGGTGTTTCGATCGCGCTCGTCGACCGCGATCGATATCACAATCTCGCGATAGTCGCGAAGCCCTCTTAGCGGATCATTATTTTCCTGGATCGTATCCAAATCTCTGGCGTTTACATTCGGCAGGAACTCTCGACCCCTTCAGGAGCAAGTTCAGAGGTTGCGAGGACGATGGGGATGCTGTCGTTTCCACGTGCTATCCTCGCGTGTATACCTTTGCGATCTTTCGCATTATTTTTATTACTCGAGACACGCGACGTGAGAGAGGGAACAAAGAAGACGTATCCAGAGAGGAGGAAAGGGGGATAAGGGTCCGAAGAAGACGGTTAAGGACCAAAGGGGAGTCCTGATCCTCCTCGCGGGTCTCAAGGCGAAATGACGGCATTCTGCTTCTTTGAGACGGTATTAGCCGGGCGATTCCATCGAATTTGCGTTCTCTCCGGCGCGGCCTCGAGAGTTCGATCACGAAATGCGATACCTTGTATATTTGTAGAAGTAATAACAGGCGTAGAGGACGAGATGGCCTCTCCGCGAAGGGATGGTCCCGAGGGGTAGTGGGTCGTCGCGATGGTGAAGAGGCGAAGGAGGTGGAGGATAGCTTGGCGACACTCAAGTCTTCCCTCTCTCCTCTTTCTCTCTCTCTCTCTCTCTCTCTCTCTCTCTTGCTTTCGGAGCTGTACAAGGGTCCATCTCATAGCAACGCCCACGGAAACTCGAATCGATACGACGCACTGTTCTGGAAATTCGTCGGATTTTCGCGCACGTTTTCGAAATTCGCAATGTGAGGTGCCTTCGCCCTCGAAATTGCACGACTGAGAAAGGTCAGCGCGACGCGCCGCGCCGACGCGTCGCGCGAATTTTCGCGCTCGAGAATTGCGAGCGTCGACTTTGCGAGTTCGATATGCGAATCGATAACTGTAGATCTATGTATAATAATTCGAAACAATCGGAGGACCAAGCATCGATTGGACGCGAATAAAAATCACACATTCTATTTTAATTAGCATAATCTATCATTACCTATTATATTTAATATAATTTGTAACAGCTCTTTAGAAATTCTAATCTGAATAATTAAGGAAATATATTTGTGAAAAGATTTATAACTATAATATTGAATATAGACAGAAATAAATTCGTTCGTACAATTACATCAACTATTTTCTGGTATCGAGCATAATTTAATTTGAATAACGAGGTAATATATTATAAAAGGCAAGAGCTAATTAAGTTCTATACAAGAATATATTTGTGAAAAGATTTATAACATATAATATTAAATATTAGACAGAAATAAATTCGTTCGTACGAATATTATATTTTATCCATTACATCAACTATTTTCTGGTATCGATAATCTAAGCATAATTGAGGTAATTTGTAATAACGAGGTAATATATATATTATAAAAGAGAGAAAGATAGAGGGAGACAGAAAGTTAGATTTCCCTCTGCGTTATCATTGATAAAAGGATTTCTTATCAAGCCGTCGCGCCGATGCATCGATCCGACTCCTCGGAGAAAGAAACGCGCACGAGTCCTTCTAACACATACGAGTCCATATACAGAGTCTGCATCTTTCTGCGCTTCGATTACTACCCTCCTTTACGAGGAGCAGTATCCAGAGAGGTAGCTCGTTTTTCCTTCTTACCGATGTGCCGCGCGAGCGTGAGAGACCGAATCGAGATGAAAATCGCAACCCCGGCATTTCTCCCTCCTTGTATCGATACGCTGGAAAAATCGGTATATATGTATATACATGTATGGGCGTCTTATTTATATATCCGAGTTTTTGGGATTATACTATATCACTTGTAACATTCGGAAAATTGTAATTATATACTATTTGGAATAATAACAATAATATGCATGAAAGATGGATTGTTTATTATAATATATTTTCAAGTTGTGATTATAAAAAATAATTTTTATTCCGTGAAGAATTATTATTGATTTGTGCAATTGACATTTAAATATAAAAATGATTAATTTATATTTTTGTAACGTACTACATCTCTTTTTACTTTATAATCAGAATCGCGCGACATTGTCGAAAACGGTGGCGGTTGGAATGCGAGAGAAGAAAGATGGATTGTTTATTATAATATATTTTCAAGTTGTGATTATAAGAAATAATTTTTATTCTGTGAAGAATTATTATTGATTTGTGCAATTGACATTTAAATATAAAAATGATTAATTTATATTGTTGTAACGTATCACATCTCTTTTTACTTTATAATCAGAATCGCGCGACATTGTCGAAAATGGTGGCGGTTGGAATGCGAGAGAAGTTCCTCTTCGTTTTTATCGTCGCGTGTCCAGCCAGGCGTCTTGTCATGCATGGCCGATATTGATATGTGCACGCGTGTATTCGAGAGCAAGCCGTCGACGGTCCCTTCCTCCCTTTGTGATAGAGCGTGTTCGTCTCCACCTCTTCGTCTCCGTCTCCCTCACATTCGTTTTCAGAGCGGAAGTTCGTGCACGAGAAATCCGGAAAATTGGACGGAGCGATCGCGTCTACTGTTGCCGACGAGCGTTCTTCAAATGAACGATCAGCTGGAATCCCATAAGTCGGCGGGGTCGATAGTTGGAGAGATGTAAAACATTTCGAGTGGCGCGCGATACTTTTCTCGAAGAAACATCTTCTTGTTAAAACGATCGAGAGAGAGTAACGATATGTTTATTTCTCGTTCTGAACATTTATCCAATTAATAATTATTTCAGATGAAAATATATATCACATCGTTGTTTTTTTATTTTCAAAATATAAGTTAAGGTATAAAGGATCTTACAAGTTACGACAAGATTAATTTTATTTGCCAAATTTGCTAAATGTCACGACTTGGCAATTACTAGTTTTACGCTTCAGAAAATTAATACGTCTAATAATTCAGGCACAGAACAAAGTATCCTCTAGTATGAGGAGAATAATATAACTTGTGTGTAATACATTTCTATGTTGTATATATATATATATATATATATATAGAACATAATTATTATAACAACAATACAACAATTCCAAACCATATATTAATATATAGTAATATAATAATAAGATTAATATAATATAATATAATAATTATTCTAAACCTAATAATAGAGAAGAAATATAATAATTATTATATTACAATCGAGTGCGATGAATAATATCGAAGGCAGAGCCAGTTGACCACCGCTGCCGCGAATTTGTCTACACGGGCGATTGTGGTCACTCAGCACAGGGTGTTCCGGCTGATCCAGTTTTCATTCCGGTTTCTTCGGTGAACTTCACCCCGAGAACGAGGCGAACGCTGTCAACACAGAGGCGCGCGCACGGAATGACAAATGTTGCTTCGACCACTAATGTTGCTGCACAACAAATTATATCCAGAGCGATAAAATCTATCCCCGGGAGTTAGATAAATAGTGCTCGAAGACGACACGCCGTTTATAAGAGGCGACGAGATCGCTTCCTTTGCGCTTCCTCAGAATTTTTCCTCCGCATCAAATTGTGATCATACATATAAATAAGCAAATATATAATAATGCGTAAATAGACAAATTTGCCACGTCTCACGTTTCCTTCTGCTGTTCTATGTTACAGATTCGAACATCGCTGAACATCTGAATCATCCATGGAAGGAATCGGTCGTGATATCAAAAAAATACATAATTAATTTAAAATCGAGTCAATAGATATAGATTAGATTTAATCGATAAGTTGGCGATTAATTAATTAATTTTTCGCACGATTGTAATAACGATGCGATGAATCATGGACAACGATGTAAGCTTCGAACGTGCAAGACTCTGGAGAATTGCGAGATAAATAAACGTACGAGAGAGAGAGAGAGAGAGAGAACGCCTCACCCAGGAATCGTTCCGATCCTGCGCTCCCGTGTTATTCCATCCTACCTTCTGCTTCCTCGGACATTAATTTCGTGCAGCTCGCTGCAGGTGCGCCGTCACAGGTAAAGTACGTATATGCAATATTATTGGCCCGATGTCGGGCAGACGCAAAAGCCCGAGTTGCGACTCGGCACGATCCCCATTAACCGTCCCATAAACAGATAATCGTGAATTTCCCGCCGATATCTGCTCGCCCAATCAGATAAGACGGAACGTCGAGATACGAAATTATTGTCCTCGCGCATTTCCCAGCTCGTTCGAGAGTCGGGACGCTGCGGTATAAGTGTTAATAATAAGTGTTAATTAAGGGTAGATAGCGATCGAATTAGCTAGACGTATGTTGTTGACTCGCGCGTCAGTATCGGATTTTAGCTTTACATTTCATTACTATACTATTTTCAGAGTATAAAAAATAAAATAATAATTTATAAAAAAAGAGCGTGAACGCGTATAAACGAATGATCGATCGTAGGGAAGAATGATTAGAATTTCAAGGCAATAACGATCGTAATAACGATTGCAAGTGGTGCGAAGCAACTTGGCGCATTGAAAAGATTTCCATTCCATTAACGCAAACTTTCCATTCTGCTAATATTCGTAGGAAAGATGCGGAAAGCACGCGAGTTTGAAATTTCCATAACAATTCGCGGCGCATAATTCTCTCGTATCAAAAGAGTCGACCTTTGATACGTCTACAAAAACATTGCTCTCGCGCAAACCCGTCGTCGTCGTCGTCGTAGTGAAATGAAGGATTTTCACGCGGCTCGCTGCCATTATTTGGCTACGTCTCTGTTTGTTCTGCGAAGTGTAGAACGGAGTCGCGAGGGTGAGAAAGAGGAGTACTCCGTTAATCATTATCCTGGGGTATGTCGAGAGGGCGAAGGAAGCCTCCTTTGAGGCTGGACCACGGCTGCTCTGCCCGGAATTCCAGGGACTCGGATTACAATTTGGCGAGTCCAGGACGAGGGGAGAGTAAAATGGCCGCCGGCGGTAGGGTAGTTTTGCTCGCCGTAGGGTGGCTACGAGGGTGGCTAACTGGGTGGTCGACGAGCAACGGCAGGCGAGGAGGTGGGTAGGGGATACTGGTGGTGCAGGAAATGTAGAAGGAGGAGGTGGAGGTAGCGGTAGGTAAAGGGGACGCGGTGGTGGCTGAGGGCAGCGGGGACCGATGCTAGCCACAACCCCTTAAGGGTCGAACGAACCCTTGCACCACTACACAGAGTCCAAGAACCTCTCGCGCTCTATCTCCCTCTCTTCTCTTTCCCCACTCTGTCTCTTTCTCTCTCTCTCTCTCTCCTTCCGTTCGCATTCGCCGCTACACGCTGTCTCTCCGTCTCGCGCCTTCCACGCTCGCTCTGACTCTCGATTTGTCTCGCTCCTCTATTCCGTCACCTCACCTCCCTCCTGGGTCGCCCATCCTGCCTCAGCGCTGAACAACCTTTATATCCACAGTCGCTATACCTACCACCACGAGTACCGAGTAAGTACGTACGTACTACCTAGCTCGCGTTATTCCCGCGTATACGAGAGAGAGGAAAAGGGATGAACAAGCGAGACGGAGAGAGCGAGGGAAACGGAGAAAGAGAGAAACAGAGGTCAAAAGGGGGCGAAAAGGAAAGAGAGAGACGGAGAAGGTCGGTGTGTTCGGGCAAGGGTGGAATTTTAGAGCCGGGACCAGCCTTAAAATACACGCCGCGCGAAATGCCGGGCGTGAATTAGAGCTCCTGCGTATACACGCTCCTCTCTTCTCTTCGTCGGACGGTATGTATGTACCTTTGGAATTTTCGTAAGCCACAGAGAGAGAGAGAGAGACGTCCGTTGTTTCTCTCCGCTCGCGCCGGTTCTTCGAACGGGATGAAATTCGACGATCGCGCTTGCGACGACGTCGCGACGTTTATTACCGAGGGTTAAATGAAACTCTCGAAAGCTTTCAACCCTCTCTCTCTCTCTGATACACAATCCGGTTTTCGCCCTCTCGAAAAATTGTACGTGCATTTTGGTCCTCGAGACACGCGATGCTATCCTTGCGCGGTTTTAGATTTACAAGGGAGAGAAATTTCTCAATTAAGTGACAGAGTACTAAAAAGAGACTTACGTGTAGCGCAAACTTTAGAACGTGTGTAAAAGTGTATTAACGAGTCGAGATATGTGTGTTTAAGTAAAATTACTTTGATATATTTCTATTTCTATGTGATCAAACTGCATCGCGTAGAATTGATAATTGATCCTCGGAACTTTGCGATTTCGATTTTCATTGCTCGCCGTGAATAAATTGCCGTCTGGAGTCGTGCTCGAAAATAAACCGAGAGACGAAGAAGCAGGACATCCAAAAGACGTAAGTCAGTTGGACGTGAGAAGTTTCACGATGTTCAGATCTTTTACCCGAGAAAAGGACTCTCGCAAGTGGAGATACAATCAGGATGCCGCGAATAGCGTGGATGCAAATAGAACCTAAATTCAAATTTAAGCGGAAAGCAAAATGTCTCTTGCGAATTTTTTACTAAACATCTTGTTTCTAAACATCGCGTGTTTTTAAACATCCTTTTCTCTTATTCGCGCATATTGTGAAATGTTCATTTTTCTTAAGAAAATACACAGGCATCTGGTTGTCGATAGAATATCGCTCGATTCTGCGGCAGGAAAAGAGAGGAAATCTGTCTCGGAGCGTCGAGAGACGAATGGATCACGGTAGAAATCGAGGATATACCGTGAATTTTAACTTGTCTTCCAAAACGCAAGACTGATGCAGGCATTAAGATTTTGCTGTAATATCATAGATTAAATAAAAAACATAGGAAAGCGAGTCGTTTCTTCGATAGAAATAATATAGACCGAAAGTAATTATAGAGTTTGTGAATAATTAAATGAGTCTATTAAAAATATTTCATGGCAATCTTTATATATCATATAAAATGGTATATACGCACGATTATATAGTTGAAATAGTGATTGATATAAAATCTAGTGATCTCATTGTAAGAATTTATTATTAATTAAGTTTTAATGCATTACAAATCTTCTTCGAGTTCAGTAATAGTTGCGAGTCCGAATAATTTCGGAATAACGATAATGTATTAAACACCCTAATAAGTACATCGCAACAGTGGGATAAATTGCATTGAGCGGATGGTTGAGCGTTATATCGGTAAAGTTCCGACGGGTGAAACTTTTATTTAAGGACGCGGCTGCGGAGACTTGTCAGGCGTTTCGTTACCGTCAAGTTTAACCGCGTCTCTAATTTCGTATAATAATTGTACCTTATAAAGGAGATCTTGAATCTAATATCCTCGGCGTTCATCTCATATTTATCGTCGCTCCGCGGAAGATGGACAACTCCACTTTTGGTATCGCGCAGCGGAATCTAAATTTAAACGCAGATGCAACGAGTTATCGTCCACGATAATCGATCGAGGACGAATATCACAATTAGCATACGATATAACGAATCGCATTTTTATCCTACCAGATCAGAAGATTTTTTTTTTTTTTTTTTTTTTTTTTTTTTATAGAGCGAACATTTATCTCTTTTTTTAAGTCGCGATCGGATAACGAGCTTCATATTGAAAATTCAATATTGGTAGTTGGTGTAACATCATTAAATATTCCACAAAGGAAACAGCAGTAATAAAATTTCCAATATATTCCGCTTTAATAATTTCAACAACGATACTTACTTAAACCAAGACACACATTTATATAATCAGAGTTTAATAGCTTCCAGTCTTTTAATAATTAGTAATAACATTAATAGTTCTCTGTCTGATTTACGATAGCCATAAAAAAAAAAGACAAGTCGACATCTGTCTTTTAAAATGACGAGAAGCAAGAGTCTTCCACTATGAATTTTCCATCGCAAAATAACCGTATTTATACATATTTACACGAACCCGATCAACCCCTTTTCGCGCGCGCGCCAATATTAATACACGCGAGCAAACGAGCAACAATCCTGACGGGACCGATATTTTGTTTTCTCGCGTCGACGACGACAACGTTGACGACGCGCGGATTTAACTAATAAGAGCAATTAATGCCGGAGGTAGTAGCTAGAGAGAGGGTGGCTTGTGCCCGCCATGGCATGTCTCTCTCGCCTGGCGGTCGCCTCGGTCAATACCCACCGGACAAGATGGCCGACGCCCACTCCAACACAAACTCGGAGTTACATACATTTATGTACTCAAATGTATAACCCACCGCGCTCTCCCCCCTGCTCCTCCGGACGGAGTTGCCTTTCTCCTTCCGCCCGGGTTCCAACCCTCCCCGGTCTCGCCAGCCACTCGGGCTACACGGACACCGAACTTCATCATTATTATCTCGCCGGCCTGGTGTACCTACCTTCCTACCGGCGGGTTTGAATTTTGCAAAAGCCACACGGCACTCGCGCCTCTAATGATAATATTGAAGCGGAAATTTCAGAGGATTTGGATTAATCGTGCATGTATTGCGGCTGGCTGAACACGCATTTATTTTTATTTCTCTTTTTTTAGTTGAAATAGGAGTTAATTCCATCTTTCTTGAGGATCATTTTTAATATGTTTGCCTAGGTATCCTGTACTTATTATTATATGCGGTGTTATATACATTCTGTGAAAAAAATGTTTACGTGCAATAATATGTGATACTTGCTATATAATAGCGTTGGGTTTGAACATAGACACGATTTCATGAAACTTATAATTTGTTATTTTTTATTAACGTTCTTTTAATAATTCAAATTGCAAACAAGACTACTTTTAATTAAATTTAATGTTATTTTCTCATTGCAATTACATTGATTTCACCGCTGTAATTGCGTTATCGAAATTTAATTATTAACAGGTGAGAGTTAATTTAAAGTTGCCAACGTTCAGCATAATCTGATGAGACTTAATTACTTACTATAATATCGAAAAATATCTAAGTGCGAATGTATATTAAAAATATT